AAAAAAATCAAAAACAAATTCAAACAACATGTCTCAAAATTGAATAAGGCCTCATCAGGATGCCCCACTTGCCATGACTCTTTCTGCTTTAGGAGTGTCATTGCTTTCATCGTAAATTTCCAGCTCTTTCCTGTCCATCATTAGTTGGATCAAGGCTCTAAATTCTGTACATTCTTGTACATCATGTCCATCTTCATTGTGATAACAACAATAACTGTCACTTTTGGAATCTGATGTGCCAAGATATGGTGCAAGAAACCCCTCATTTATCATTTGCCTCCATACCCAAGCGAGAGGTAACTTCACTTCGGAAACTCTGGTTTTGGCCTTTTTACCTTTTTCCTCGGTGACTGCACTTTCCTTATTCTCTTCATGATTTGGTTGGGGGTTCTGTGCAACGTGGAGTGATTCTGAATTATTAAAATGAATCCAACCCCTGTTGCGCATCCTTTGGATAACCCTCTTAAAGGGGAGGCAATTTTCGTTAGCATGCCCCGGAACACTGCCATGATATTCACAGTGCGTATTTTTGTCATACCACCTGGGGTATGGGGGCTTTATAGGTGTCTCGGGATAGGGTGACACCACATGTGCGTCAAACAGTTGTTGGTAGAGCTCCTTGTATGTCATGGGAATGTGATCAAAATGCTCTTTTTCCTTCCTTTGTTTTTGCCTACAAAAGGGTGCGACTGGAAACGACTTTGAAATGTTGATGATCTCTCTTTCTTTCTTCTTCAGGGGAGGCTTTCCACCCGTTCTACCTCCTGGGTTAATGGTAATTTCTACCCTCGTTGTTTTGACCTCTTCTTCAAATTTCGGAATGCGATAACTATCCGAATTATCTTGAAGTCTTTGGTAAGATTCTGGGTGAGACAACCACTTGCGGGGTAAGTGGCATGGTTACCCCTTCCGATGAGCCTGCCCCAGGCACACTTGTATGACGTAAGCCAACTAACTTGGCAACGATCTGATCGATCAATGACTCTTGGCCTTTCGTGATTGCATCTAGGGTACTCTGGCTATTCTGATTTATCTTTTCTTCTAACTATCTCTGGAGCTTCAACATGTTCTCCTCGATTTGTGTAATTCTGGCTTCCATCATCTTCTTCTTCAAACGAGTGTTATGCGGATGAGGTGTGTCCAACGCTTGAGGCGGTGTATCCAGTATTTGCTCCTTTTGATGAGACATGTATATGTTAGTTAATGTGAATGCAAAGAAAAATGACAAAATGCAACATATGTCTAGATGCATAATGCATGCAATGTTCGAGGCATTGATCCAAAAAATGTGTCTGTTATTAGAAATAATCCTTATTGGGGACAAAAGTGTTTTATCTTTTAAGAGACAAAAAATATTCTGACAGCTTCTAACATGTTGACTAGTCTTCTGCCTTCATCGTCATCAGTTGAATAACCTGTCGAACCGCTCTGGCTTCTCTGGATGAACCGTGCAAATGACGAGTTGTTTGCCCTAAAAAAAGTCTTAAAGGACTGCACCTCCGGCATTTATCTTTTGTTGAGCCTGTTCCCAACGAATACGTCATTGGAGCCCTTAATTGATAGGAACTATGTTAAGTCCATTTGTCTATTTCTTGAATTCGTCAGTAATGGTCTCCCATTTCAGTTATCATTTTGCCATTGTCGTCTTTGAAGTGACTCCTAAGATCAGTGGTCTTCATCTTGCCCCTGCAACTTCTGCCAGTCAGTTCTTCAAAGATAGACTTTCATTGTGCTTGATGTAGACCCGATTCATTGAGTCATTTATAATGCAATATAGTGATATACTCTTTAATCGTGGGCCCCACGTGTTCTGGATTAAATGTGACACATAGTCTCCTTGTAGACTGTCATCTGCATTTTCATCTCTTGTATTACAACCCCTTTGTCCATTAATGCAGATTATTCATGTTTAGCAAACACGTTTTTGGTGGATCAACACCTCTTTTAAATGATGCAAGGGATGAAAATAAAGTGAAAGAGAAAAAAAGTTAGTGAGGTAAAAATAATCATGAAAAATAAAAGTCCTACCCCACATGATATTTACCCGAACATGCTTAATATTCCTACTCGGACATGATTTCTATCCCGTATGCTAATTTCAAACAAATCCTAATCGCATATTTGTCTAGTTCGCATGCTTTGAACATAAAATAATGCAGGAAACAAAACAACCTAGGGTTTGAAATGAGGTTTTGGGGTGGGCTCTAATTCCCTGTACTCTCCCGATTTAGGTTCTAAAAAAAGGTACTCGAGTTCTCCTTGCCGGTGCCCCCTTGGGCTTGCCAGACCCTTAGTCCTAAACCCATCACAGGCTTGTGTGGACTAAGTTAAACTCGAGAGGACACATTCCCTTATGTCTGTGCGGTGAATAAATTCACACGAAGACATAAGGTATATGAATCCCGAAGGCTACTTGCTAGGCCTGTGCGGTGAATAAATTCACACGAAGGCGTCGCTTTCACCCCCACTTAAATAGGGTTCGGAGCTCAGGTTTAGAGATTAGAGATGACAATTTTGAAAAATCTGAAATCATTAAAAAACATCAGTACAACTATTTATTTGAAAAATAATCAAAGATAAATAATTGGAATCGAATAAATAAATTAAAATTAAAATTTACCATTTTCGCATAAAAAGACAACCGAAAATTAATTTCGGCCTGACTCACTTACCTTCCCCAACAGAGTCGCCAAGCTGTCGGAACCGTCTTTCGGTTGGCCCCGGAATTGGGCTTCGACTTGAAATGAGTTGATTAGAGTCGCCACCGACCACTTTAAAACGAATTTAGGTGGGCCGAACACCATCTTACCTGATCTGCGTCGTATCAGAAACGTGTCGGGTTCGGGAGTCGGTTACGGTCAAGGAAGGATTAGCACACTTGAACCGCCCTTTCGGTACCAATTAATTTGTTGGTTGTCTTTAATTGCGAAAATTGGAATTTAAATTGAAATTTAGAAATTCGATTCAAATTACTTACCTTGGATTGATTGGGAATTAATAATGAAAATGTCAAAAATATGCTAGATGGTAAAATAAAAGAAATGTCAAATAAAAGTTAATTAAATAAAAAGAAAAATAAATAAGTAAATAAATCAATCAAAGAAGGAAAAATATAAAAATGTTAAAAGAAGAAAACAAAACAAAAGAAGAAAATGTAAAATTTCAGGAGAAAAATATAAAAAGTTAAAAGAGAAAAATATAAAACAAAAAAAAGTGGGAAATTAAAAATAAAAAGGTTAAATTTTAAAGAAAATATAAATATGGAAAAAATATCAAATTAAAATGAATTAATTTTTTGAGTTCAAAACAGGACTGAATTGCATTAATTGAAAATTCAGAGAAATAATCAATGTACATGTGACCAAATTGAAATAGTGTGAAGATTATAGACAAATACAAAAATATATAACTATTGGATGACATGTTTCCCACTTAGACCAAAAAGTTTGGGAAAACACAAATTCCTAGGGCTCCCACGTGAAAATGAATATGCCCCTTATTTTAATTATGCTTCAGCAGTGCTCTCTCTCCTTATCTCCTCCCCCTTTTTGCTTTCCTTTTCCCATTTTACAACACAATTCTAAGTAAAAGAAACAGAACCCTTGAATTAAATCCATAATTTCCTTTCGTGTTCTTGCATGTCTCTTCCATAATACCCCATCTCGATCCAAAACAAATAGTTCTTTTCTCCTAATCTTGTTTTTATAACTTGTAGTCCATCCATACCACAAAAATAACAAAACTCTCAAAAAATCAAAAAAAACGAGGACTCACCTTCGATCTGAGGCTTGAAAGATAACAACACTTTCCACGGTAAACGACAAAAATTTTCCAGCGACCGACAGTGGCTCTTAATGGCGGAAGACAGTAGCAGTGAGCTTCCCCTCTCCTCTTTGTATATTTCCTTCGATATTTTCGAACATGTTTATTATTTCCGATTGATATGTGGATGTTGGGATATATTTCTTGCTACCGGTTCTCTTGCTTTTCTTTCGAACCTTCCCTCTATTTTGCGTATGATTTCTTGTGTATCTCGTGGTATTTGTCCCCCCCGTGTGTGTGGGTCGTGTTTAATTTATAGTAAAAATACAGTCCTATTTTTAGGAGTTTAACTCTGTGCGAAACACTAACGACGTGGTTGTGTTTGTTGTCGTTCCTTGCGCCGAAAGATGCGGACTGCTGGGGTGAGAGATTCGGCTTTTGGTTAGCCGAACGTTGAGGTGATGTGGCGCTGGGGTCTTCGCTTGTTGCTTGGTGGCTGAGTCTTGTATAATGTAACTTGGGCCAATGTTAGGACCTGTATATGTTAAATAAACACATGAATATAATTAAAATTATGCTATATAATATAATTAAAATTATATAATATAATTTGTGGTACTAATAAAAAGACGAAAATTATGTGTCTACAACACCCATATCATGTTGACCCTAATCCATTAAAAACCTTGAAACTTGATTATGTGATCGTCATATATGCAAATTTCAAGTCCATAATGAAAGTGTCGTTCGTATTCTAATTTATTTCATTCACAAAGTTAAAATTTAAATCTCTAACCTTAATTAAGAAATTTAATGTTTCATCAACTAATAATTTTTTTGAACCGTAGAGCAACTAATAATTAGTCTGAAGCATTTGTTTATAAATCTATATATTGTTATAAAATTATATAATATCACCTATTAAAAATAAAAGTTTTTTTTACCAATTTAAAGACTTTTGTTCCGAACTCAACCTGAATATTATATCTCTCATCCGCTCAACTCGAATACATAATGTTTTCATTTTGTTCAATAAAATAAGAATTTAATTAAAAAATTATGTAGAGAGAGGTATTATAGCAATCGTTTAAAAACATAAAGATAATAATTATATTATTATTTCAAGTATATTATTATTATCTTTATATTTTTAAAGATATAAAATCCTCTGGGTTATTTGTAAAGCATAATGTTTTCATTTTGTTCAATAAAATCCTCTGCTTCATTTGTAAAGCATCGGAGCTCCCAGTTGCTACTCTTAACGCTAACTGGATCAACCACAGGTAATTTCAAATACTTCTGCTCGTTTATGAAATTCAAATCTTGCTCTTTATCATTCGTTTTTCCAAATAAAAATTGTATTGCTTTTCTACTTGTACGGATTCTATGGACATTTCCATGGATCGAATCGATCGGCCTTAGAAATAAGCTTTACATTTTATTATTTTTTCTGGACATAATCTGCTAAGAATCTCTTTTTGATCAAATCGATCAAATAATTTGTTAGGTTTTGAATCGAAGAATCTGAGTTTCGGTAAGAAATTTAAATTTGTCGTGAAATCTGGAAATTTTATTGCCGATTTTGATCGTAAGTTTTACGTATTGAAGGAATTGAAGCATGGGAAAGAGGAAATCAAGAGCCAAGCCTGCTGCTAAGAAGCGAATGGATAAGCTCGATACTGTTTTCAGCTGTCCATTTTGTAACCATGGCACCAGCGTAGAATGCCGCATGTAAGTATTTGTTTTATGACAAATTTTATTCTTATTTGAACTTGAGATGATTTTGAAACAAATTCTTCCTATTAGATGATTAGAAAAGGAATGTTTATCTATGATTATTGAAATTAGTAGACTATTCTATCCTTGATGTAGATTAAACTAATTGAACTCTACGTCCCCCTACTATAAATCATTGTCTAAACTGGTCTTGAAACACAGCAATATCAAGGATTCAAATGGAATGTTTCAAGACTATTTTGGGGTCGGGGCAATAGTTTGGAGACATCTAGTGGAATTAATTAGAGATGTTATTGCTATGTTTTACAAAGTTGGTGGTGTTTTATCTGTTCCAGTGATATGAAGAACTTAATCGGTGAAGCCTCGTGCAGGATTTGCCAAGAAAGTTTCAGCACTGTTATAACAGGTACTTATAATGCTGTTGACTCGTTACCATGAAAATCTGTTGCTCCGACTCTTTAATTTTAATGAAGTACTTGTGTCTTACATTTATTGTCGACACTTTTATTTGAGGTTACGACCTTTAACAATCTTCCAAATACGTAGAAAAGTTTAAAAAAATCTTACCATATTCGTGTACAATATTTAGATCTGAATTCAAATAATATATACGAAAACTAAGTTGGCAGCAATGCTTATAACTCATCCGTATTTTTTTGTTTCTAATATGCAGCTTTGACCGAAGCAATAGACATGTAAGCACCATCAATCTGGTGTTTATTCTGTTTTCTTCCCATTTGATCTTCTCTTGTATGTTTATTTCTCTCAAAACTTCTCAGATACAGCAAATGGATCGATGAATGTGAACGAGTTAACCACCTCCATGATGATGATGATGATGGAGATCAGGACGAAGATTTCGAGCCTAGAAAACGGGTTGCAACGTCTGAGCGGGATTAGATATGGTCAGGTATGCTTTAGAACTGGTTAAGCCTGTAATTATTTTAGTTCCCATAGTGAGTAGCTGTTATTATGCTGGTATGCACATCTAACAGCATCTTATAAGGAGTCACAGAGTTGTTATTATGCCGATTGATTTTTGCAATTTTTAATTTTTGAACATTTCGGATCGATTACTTTCTTTGATTTTCCAGTTCTGCATATTATCTACTAAATTCGGATATTGCTATCTAGATCCGAATTCAAATTAGATAACAAGATTTGTTGGATATTCTAGTCTATGAACTGAATTTGAATAGTAATAATTACATAAAGGAGTTGGGATACATTATCATATCCAAATCAACCATTTCTCTTTGCCTGCCGTAACTATCTCAGTAAATAGTAAAAAGGCGGGCCGAGGAAAAACAATCATTCCTCTTTGCCTTCCGTAACCATCTCCTGGAGTTTATGTCGGACTCGAGCCATGATGATGATCATCAAAAGGACTGATGAAACAATGAACTGTACCAAATTTTTATGTTCATTAAAATAAAGAGCTTGACTTGCTTTTGAGATAATGAAATCCTGCAAAAAGGACCGAGAGAAAATGCAGAATCTTACTCGTTAGATCCTCCTAAGCCCGTAATCGAGCCTCTCACTCATTGGCGCTGCCACATTCTGAGTGGAATAAGGATTTCCAACACCAACCTTTGCATTAATCATATCCCTTTCCTTTGACACAGGGCTTGTTATCGGATCGGAAATCTGCCATGAGTCTTCCCATCCGGATCAGCAACCGATTTCCCCTTTGCACTTTTCTTACCAACAACAAGCTTCAATTCCAACCTATACAAGGCACAAGCATCACATTTGTTGGTCTCGTATTCGTGAAGGTGCCACTCAAAATTGTTCAGTGGCTGTGGATCCATGTAGTATGATCTCTTCAGTCCTACCTCCGAATTCATTCATAACTTGCTGTCTCGACTCATGCCCGCTGTAATCGGGCAAAGGCCCTCTGCTTTCAGTTCACACTTTCAAATGCTCTTTGAGGCTTATCGAAGAAGAGCCACTCCCTCATCTATTCACCATCAAGAACAGAGAGATCAAAGAGCTCTGCAATCACAGTTTAATAGTATATGATAAAGTTGCCACTATATGTTTCATGGATTCTGTACTAAAATTCCAGGGGCCCAGTCTTAATCACCTCAGCTACATAAAATACGATGGCAGTAAAGCCATTGATTTAGGTATCGGTAATAATGATATCCGACTCCACCAGCACCTTAATCGGTTCGATGAAGATTTTAAAGGATTCATCTCAGTTATACAAGAGAGAAATCACCAAATGCCATCAAGCAATAAAGAAATCTCATCCCTTTGGACGGAAAAACTCAACTCCAAGTTCATGCTGCCTTAAGTGTAGCTGTAAACGATCCCAGTCGAGCTTGAGTATCACTGAGCTCGATTCAACTCTAAAAGTTTAAAGTTGAGTTTGACTCGACTCGAAAGCTCGGAGTTTAAAATTATCAAATTTGACTCAAATTCGAAATAAAAAATTGAATCTCTACTCAAAAGTTCGCAATCTTAAATTTTTCAAGCTCGACTCAATCAAAAATTAAAGCTCGACTTGAGTTCAAAAAAATTGAACTCGAAATATTTTCAAACTTAACTCGATTGAAGCTCAAACATGTAGATATTTATAAGTAAACGAATTCGAATAACATGTAGATATTTGAGCATTAATATAAGTAAACTTAGCTCGACTCTAAATTTGTTCTTCACAAAAGTAAACGAATTCGAATAATATGTAGATATTTGAGCATTAATATAAGTATTCATTACAAATCCAAAAGAAAGAGAACATACTTCAGCCATCTTACTTTACACACATGTAGAGGGATATATATATATATATAAACAGAATTTCTAATTTATAAGTCTGTATTTTCATGTAGAGGGGGAAATGTTCATGTGCGGCCGCTTTAATATACCGTTAAAAATGTATTATCGATTTAGTTATTATTTAATCGGTAAAAAATATCAAAAATATTATTATTTTTACAAATTTTGTTATTATTTATACTGATTTTGTTATTGTTAGACACTTTATCGAAAATATTAAAAAACAATAATATTTTAAATAAAAATAATAATGTTTTAAATAATTTTTATCGATTTTATTATTTAAATAATAATAAAACCAATAACATATTTTTTAATTATATTTTAAGTGTACCGCATTGTATAACTTCTCGCCAAACTGTACGAGTCTCACGAACAGCATCTTCAACCGGGGCGAAGACTAAACCCAGATCGATTAAATCGCTTGGCCGTATATTCAAATGAGAGATAGATTGTTATCTTCCTTGACAACAAAGTTAGCAGGGTCGGTGACCTCGATACGGCCCCATTTGTCGACAGCCAACCTCATGGAACCCTTAAACATATCGATCTTTGCATTACGAAGAATTACAGTGGTTCCAGGCCTCATCAACTCAACTGCAAATGATTCAAGCATTATTATCATCAAACTGCATGGACAATTCAAGTCACTTTCTCTCAATAATTTCTTGAGGCAAAACAAAATCGGAAAGCCGAGAACGGTTTCAAAATGTTGTCAATGACAATGAGTGTCGGCTTTAACATACAGAATAATTCATTTCATGTAACAAAGGAGAGATCAAAGCTTTTGGCATCAATGAAAAAAAAAATGTACCCTTTTCTAGAACGAATTAAAATCAGATCAGTCGGGCGTGAAAATCCTTAAGAAAACTTAAAAAATAGAAGGGGTTTGTAAAATGGACCTTGATCGTTACGAGCAGTGAAGAGGATGGCGCCGTTCTCGTCTCTGAAAAGGCACTCGGCGATTCGGGTTTGTCGAAGATGTTGAGAAGCGGGTCGGCCTTTTTGAAGGACCGTATTGGAAGACAAGACCTTGGCGATTACGGTATGGCCATTGGTCCCTGGATTTAATTGGTCCACTTTTACGAACACTGGCTTTCTCTTCTCTGTCGATTTGTTCTGTTGCTGCTGGTGTTGTTGCTTTTGGCTGTCCGGTCGTCGCCAATGGTTTCGACGGTGTAAGCTCTTTTCTTCGATGGTGGGAGAATGAGAAAATGGGGAAGCCCTAGAACGGAAATCCAAACTCGGAAAAACGGTGTCGTTTTCTAGTTTTGAAAATCTGAGAAATCACTGAATATAGTTAGGGTTAATTATATAGACGTCCCAAACTATAGTCTAAATTTTAAATTTTTCTTAAAAGTTTAGAATTGATTTCTCAAAGCTTAAAACCCTAATATTATCGTCCTCTATAAAATATATATAATATGAATACTATTTCAACATACGAACACCTCTATAAATCTTGAGAAAAAATGGCCTTACTGTTGGGTATGTCTCATAATTATGTACCGGGTTTTTTTTATTATAAATAGTGATATAACCTAAACCTATGTGACATTGAATAAAACTTCTAGCGCCGTCTAGGTACCGTGGACGTAAGCACATTGTCGAACCTCGTTAAAATTCTTGTGTTCTTTCGTTTTCTTTACCCGATTCTTCAACAATTGGTATCAGATGTCAGGAGCAAAATTCGAAGTTGTGAAATTCGATGGTCAGAGTAACTTCGGATCATGGCAAACGAGGGTGAAGGATCTACTGGCGTAGCAAGGGATCCTGAAGGCTTTGCGACCTACAAAGCCGGCGTCGATGGAGGAGGAAGATTGGGAATGTAACACCCCCACCCGTACTCGACCCAGATACGAGTCAGAGATATTACATTGACTTTTAAAACACAACTCTTAAGAAATAATAGCAAAATACTTGAACTTATATTAAGAAAATACGATACTATACATATGGTAATATAAGTTTACCAAAATATTCAGAGCATACACAACTTAACCCTTTAATTACATGCCAACTTCCATTTACATAACAAAATGACCTACTGATTAAGTTGCTTCTGATCTGATGGTTACAGGAGTAATGTTGTCCAGCTGCTTAACCTGTCTCGTCTACTTTCTCAGATCCTACGTGTGAAACACTCACACGCTAAGTCATCGACTTAGTGAGGCAATGAAATAATAATAACAAGGAAATGTAATGAAAATGTCATAATGATATGAAATGGGATGAAAGCGTATACTTAATCCATGTAGTTTACATCACCATTATCCTTACCTGTAAGCATATAACTTTAACATTCATGAATTTGTGTTAATAAATTTATTGGCCCATGATATCATATTGAGAACCTAAGGTATGTGAGTATTGTGAGGTTGTGCACTATGCTGTCACCACAGCTTGTATAAATGCACCGAAGTGCCGCGTAGAATTGCACCGTAGTGCCATTTAATAATGTCCATAAGGACCACATAGAATTCCTTAAGAATCATATACATATACTAGGGATCAAGTATGTGTCTCCCAAGACTTCACACATGTTCTAAAGAATATATATAGATCCCGAACGACCGCGTAGAATTTTATCCCGAAGGACCGCGTATACCCTCTACCCTTGGCATGCCAACTATACCTATAGTTCTCATCTACATAACATGGGCTTTTACATTTCACGTAGTTTATATCGCGTAGACATGTAAATTCTTACCTTTTCACATAGCTCATATAACTTTTCATGCACATTCATGTCACATAAAGCATTTTATATGAATTCATGTCATGTCTCATAATACAAAATATGATCATGTATCAAGATATAAAATCTAGACTTATCACAAGTCTAGAATTGAGTATATTTCTATGATCATGCTATACATATGCATTCACCTATATTTCCTTGCTTTTTCCTCGATCGATCTTACTGGGCAATTGTTCGTGAACTTGATTAAGCTCTGTATCTACATAGTAATTCGTTGATACTTATTAGTATACTAATTAATATATTCTAAACTATCATTTCTTAGGCTAAAAGAAAAGTTATTTCCATCTTTTAATGAAGGTATGCATCGATGCACTATACAGTGTATTGATGCATTCCCTATCAGTGCATCGATGCACTACCTGCGCATCGATGCATAAATGACATTCGATGTTTCCATTTTAAGGGGATGCATCGATGCACTCCTTATGCATCGATGCATTAATTGCATTCGATGTTTGTTTATTTGAGAGTGCATCGATGCACATTGAAGATGCATCGATGCACACAACCCAGAAATCCCATTGCAAGCACGAAATTCACTCTTTTCATCTCAACTCTTCATCTTTCACCTCCTTTAATATTTCTAACTCTTATACACATACTTAAACTGATTAATACCCATTTAATACCTCTTAACCTTACAAATCCAATCATTAATACCGAATTCAAGAATCTTACTCAAATTTCAACATGTTCTAAATCTAGTTCTAACACTTCATATCATTTACTTCAACTCATGACAAGTTAGATTTAACTTATAAATCCATTTATACATCCTTATTCAAGATTTCACTTATCCACTTCTTATCTTTAATCCTTCATAACTCACCAATCTTTGAGTTTCTGTAATATTTTTCATCTCTATAATCTTTCCTAAAGCTTCATAAATCAAACACATACTTTAATTTGAAGGATTAACCAAAAGAAATCAAATTTACCTTAAGTTTGGGTGCTTCACGTTGAAGAACAAAATGAAGAAGAAAGAAGAATCAAGAGTTATCTAGAAACTCTTGTTTCTTTCCCTTGGGTATTATAATACCCAATATATAATATTTAATTATTACCTTTGCTCAATGACCCTTTTACCCTTTTAATTCTCATTCACTTATTAATTCATCCTACACCAACATCTTTTAATTAATTCCTTCACTTTTTAATTTATTTAATTTGATCACTGAAATTTTAAAATCTTACACTTTAATCACTAACCCGGTATTGAGGATGTTACAAATCTCCCCTCCTTAAGAAAATTCGTCCTCAAATTTTCATTGCACGAACAGATGGGGGTATTGATAACACATATCCTCTTCACGCTCCCACGTTGCTTCCTCTACTTTGTGATTCCTCCAGAGAACTTTGACCAACATAACTGATTTATTCCTCAACTGTTTAACTTCATAAGCCAATATTCTTACTGGTTCTTCTTCATAGGTCAGATCTGATTGAACTTGTACTTGTTCTGGTGCAACTATATAGAGGGATCAGACCTATACCTTCGCAACATGGACACATGAAAGACATTATGAATTTTCTCCATCTCATGTGGCAAAGATAACTGATATGCCACTGGTCCTATCCTCTTAACAACTTCATATGGCCCGATGAATCTAGGACTTAACTTTCCTTTCCGACCAAATCGTAAGACTTTCTTCCAGGGAGATACTTTCAGAAACACTTTATCTCCAACTTCAAATTCAATCTCTTTTCTTTTAAGATCAGAATAGGACTTTTGCCGATCAGATGCCACTTTGAGGTTATGCTGAACTTCACGCACTTTCTCCTCCACATCTTGAATTAAATCTGGACCAAGTACACTTCGATCTTTGAGCTCATACCAGTTTAATGGAGTACGACATTTCCTCCCATATAACGCCTCATAAGGTGCCATTTTAATACTAGATTGATAACTATTGTTGTAAGCGAACTCCGCCAGTGGTATATATTTCTCCCACGACCCTTTAAACTCAATAACACATGCTCGCAACATATCTTCCAATATTTGAATAGTTCTCTCTGATTGCCCATCTGTCTGAGGGTGAAAGACCGTACTAAAGTTAAGGCGAGTTCCCAACGCTCCATGTAGGGATTTCCAAAATCTCGAAGTAAATCGAGGGTCTTGATCAAAAACTATAGAAACATGCACTCATGCAATCTAATAATTTCTCTAATGTACAACTCCGCATATTTTTACACAGAGAAATTAGTTCTGACAGGAATGAAATGCGCTGATTTGGTCAAACGATCAACAATGACCCAAATTGAATCTCTTTTGTTCGGAGTCAAGGGTAACCCCAAACAAAATCCATCGTCACATTATCCCACTTCTATTGAGGAATGGAAAGGGGTTGTAATAATCCAGAAGAACTTGGTGCTCAGCTTTAACTTGTTGACATACCAAGCACTTAGACACAAATTCAGTGATACTTCTTTTCATTCCTGACCACCAATACCTACCTTCAAATCCATGTACATCTTGGTTCCACACGGATGCATCGTCAATGGACTACAATGAGCCTCTGTCAATATTTCTTTCTTCAAATCCTCATTGTCCGGTATCACAATTTTTCCTTTATAAAACAAATTCCCATCCGACTTAACCTCAAAATCCTTAATCTCTTTATTCTTTACTTGCTTATTCTTTTCAAACACATTTCATCTTTACTTTGTAATTCTCCAATTCTTTCCAACCATTCCGGTTTAAAATTTAGCTCTGCACATAGACCACCGTCTCCAGTTAAAGATAATCTTGCGTCCATAGCTCGTAAGGATGCAAACGTTTTCCTGCTCAAGGCATCAGCTACCACGTTAGCCTTCCCGGGGTGATAATCAATTATCATATCATAATCTTTTAAGAATTCAACCCATCTCTTTTGCCTCAAATTAAGTTCTTTCTGAGTCATCAGGTATTTCAAGCTCTTATGATCCGTATACAAATAACATCGTTCTCCATACAGAAATGACGCCAAATCTTGAGAGCAAACACTACAGTAGCCATTTCTAAATCATGGGTGGGGTAATTCTTTTCATGTGGTTTCAACTGTCTCGATACATATGCTACCACTTTCCCTTCTTGCATTAACACACACCCTAACCCATTATAAGACGCATCACTGAACACTATAAAATTCTTGCCAGTTTCAGGTTGAACTAAAACAGGAGTTTCTGTCAAAATTTCCTTTAAAACTTCAAAACTTTCTTGACATTCAGGAGTCCAACTAAACGGTACGTTCTTTCTCATTAGCTTTGTTAGAGGCAGCACAATCATCGAAAAATTCTTAACGAATCTTCGATAATAACCGGCAAGTCCAAGGAAACTCCAAACTTTAGACACATTTCTTAGGAACATCCCAATCTATTATAGCTTTAATATTTTAAGGGTCCACCCTAATCCCATATGCGGAGATCACATGCCCCAAGAAAATTACTTCATTTAACCAAAACTCACATTTGGACAATTTAGCATACAACTTCTTATCTCTTAAAATTTGCAAGACGATCCTCAGATATGCGCTAAGCTCTTCATAGGATTTCGAGTATACCAGTATATCATCAATAAAGACAACAACAAACTGGTCCAAGTAGGGCTGAAAAATCCTGTTCATAAGATCCATGAAAGCAGCAGGTGCATTCGTTACTCCAAATGGCATTACAATGAATTCATAGTGACCACATCTCGTTCTAAAAGCTGTCTTCAGAATGTCTTTCTCCTGAATCTTCAATTGGTGATAATCGGAACGTAAGTCAATCTTCGAGAATACCGAAGCTCCTTTTAACTGATCAAACAAACCGTCAATGCATGGGAGATGATACTTATTCTTGATTGTCACCTTATTGAGCTGTCGATAGTCAATACAGAGACGCATTGATCCATCATTCTTTTTAACAAATAACACAGGAGCTCCCCAAGGTGATACACTTGGTCGGATAAATCCCTTCTCTAGCAACTCTTGTAATTGATTCTTTAACTCTTGCAGTTCTTTTGGAGACATTCGATAATGTGCCATTGCAATCGGAGCTTTTCCCGACATTATTTTAATTTGGAACTCTACCTCTCTACTTGGAGGTAATCCTGACAACTCAGCAGGGAAAATATCAGGGAACTCTCGAACTATTGGAATCTCCTCTAACCTTTTCTCTTGAGCTCTTGAATCTATCACATTTGCAAGAAAACCCTGACATCCTTATAGCAGTAATTTCTTGACAGACATCACTGATATTACATTTACTAAGGGATTACACATTTCACTAATCACATTTACTTCTATTACTTATGGACTCTTCAAGTTTACCTTTTTCAATCTACAGTCGACATTCCCATAGTAATGAAACAACCAATCCATTCCTAAAATCACTTCAAACTCGTCAAAGGGTAATTCCATCAGATTAGCAGGGAATTCAATTCCCTGAATCTTTATGGGACACCTCTTACAGACCTTGTCCACCAGAGCATTATGCCCTAACGGATTAGTTACTATCATTACATTACTCGTAGCTTCTAAGGGAATTCTCAATTCTTTTACTAATTTACTGGTAATATAAGAATAATTAGAGCCGGATCAATCAGTACAATCACTAATTTATCATACAACTGAAAAGTACCTGCTATAATATAGGGATCATCCCGGTCATCACTTGTCTTTAAATTGTATACCCGAGCAGTGGATCAAACTTTCGATTACACAGAGGATTCAGACTGGTTCCTTCTTCTACCTCTTCCTCGTCCTCTTTGTGAGGCAGAACCAACTCTTTCAAATGATGCAGGCTCACCAACTAATAACGGGCAGTCCCGGATAAAATGTCCAGCCTCTCCGCATCGGAAACAAGTCCCTGAAGCCATACGACATACACCAAAATGGTTCTTCCCACAATGCTGACATTGTCTCGCTTAACCTTGAGTGGCCCTCCCAGTACCCGATCCCACTGACTGTGTATGTCTAGGTCTTACTTGACTTGCTCCTCTAGCAGAGGATGCAAATGATTCTGATCTAGCTTGTGATCGAAATCTGAATCTCTTCCTCTTTTTGGTGGTACTGAGCTGGAAGAAGCACCCGTCCTCTTTGATGTCTGAACCCTTGAGTCCCCAAATCTTTCATTTTGAGCTCTTTCAAGAGCTTTTGCTCGATTAATCACCTCTTAAAACGAGGACAAGTTTAATACTATCAATATTTCTTTAAGTCTAGGGCGCAAACCCTCCACGAACCATTCACAAGCATCTTTTTCAGTAGGCACAAGCTCAGCTGCAAACCTGCTCAGCTTATTGAACTCACATTCGTACTCATATACAGAGCGGCTCATCTGCTTCAAATTCATAAACTCCTGCTTCATTTTCCAAATAAACTGATCTCCAATATACTTGTTTTTAAATTCTTCTATAAATAAATACCAAGTCAACTGGTCGTTTGACATCCTCATGGTGACGTTTGTCCACCATATCCTCGCCTGACCCCTCAATAAAGATACAACTCCATCTAACTTCTACACTTCGAAGAAATAGAGACCATCTAGTACGATTTTCAAATCATTCAACCAAAGATCTGCTGATATTGGACATTCCTCAGCTTATCCCTTAAATTCGGGAGCTCCTAAACCTCTCAACTCTTTTGCTACATTCATTCATTGAGTTAGTGGAGTAAAAGGTTGAAGACACATCATAATAGCGTCTAACGTTCTAAAGAACGTATCCTGATCTTGCACAGGCACTCCTTGAGATGCATGTTCTTCACCATGCCTGGCCAGGGTAGGTGAATTACTGCTTTCAGTAGGCCTATCTTCTCCCGCTTCACTTCGGGAGCTATTTTGTCTGGACATCTAATAAAATAAACACATTGTTCTATTAGCAAAACAACATACTCATACTATACCAGATCAGAATTTCTCACTATATGTTGGCATGTATTCCACCTAAAGACTCTATAGACTCTGGTTTATGCCTAGAATCGGCTAAACCATAGCTCTGATACCATTAAATGTAACACCCCCAACCCGTACCTGACCAGGATACGAGTCAGAGATATTACATTGACTTTTAAAACACAACTCTTAACAAATAATATCAAAATACTTGAACTTATATTAAGAAAATACGATACTATACATATGGTAATATAAGTTTACCAAAATATTCAGAGCATACACAACTTAATCCTTTAATTACATGCCAACTTCCATTTACATAACAAAATGATCTACTGATTAAGTTGCTTCTGATCTGATGGTTGCAGGAGTAATGTTATCCAGCTGCTTAACCTGTCTCATCTACTTTCTCGGATCCTACGTGTGAAACACTCACACGCTAAGTCATCGACTTAGTGAGGCAATATAATAATAATAACAAGGAAATGTAATGAAAATGCCATAATGATATGAAATGGGATGAAAGCGTATACTTAATCCATGTTTACATCACCATTATCCTTACCTGTAAGCATATAACTTTAACATTCATGAATTTGTATTAATAAATTTATTGGCCCATGATATCATATTGAGAACCTAAGGTATGTGAGTATTGTGAGGTTGTGCACTATGCTGTCACCACAGCTCGTATAAATGCACCGAAGTGCCGCGTAGAATTGCACCGTAGTGCCATATAATAATGTTCATAAAGACCACATAGAATTCCTTAAGAATCATATACATATACTAGGGATCAAGTATGTGTCTCCCAAGACTTCACACATGTTCAAAAGAATATATATAGATCCCGAAAAACCGCGTAGAATTTTATCCCGAAGGACCGCGTAGACCATCTACCCTTGGCATGCCAACTATACCTATAGTTCTCATCTATATAACATGGTCTTTTACATTTCATGTAGTTTATATCGCGTAGACATGTAAATTCTTACATTTTCACATAGCTCATATAACTTTCCTGCACATTCATGTCACATAATGCATTTTATATGAATTCATGTCATGTCTCATAATACAAAATATGATCATGTATCAAGATATAAAATCTAGACTTATCACAAGTCTAAAATTGAGTATATTTCTATAATCATGCTATACATATGCACTCACCTATATTTCCTTGTTTTTTCCTCGATCAATCTTATGGGCAATTGTTCGTGAACTTGATTAAGCTCTATATCTACATAGTAATTCGTTGATACTTATTAGTATACTAATTAATATATTCTAAACTGTCATTTCTTAGGCTAAAAGAAAAACTATTTCTATCTTTTAATGAAGGTATGCATCGATGCACTATACAGTATATCGATGCATTCCCTATCGGTGCATCGATGCATAAATGACATCCGATGTTTGTATTTTAAGGGGATGCATCGATGCACTCCTTATGCATCGATGCATTAATTGCATTTGATGTTTATTTATTTGAGAGTGCATCGATGCACATTGAAGATGCATCGATGCACACAACCCAGAAATCCCATTGCAAGCACGAAATTCACTCTTTTCATCTCAACTCTTCATCTTTCACCTCCTTTAATATTTCTAACTCTTATACACCTACTTAAACTGATTAATACCCATTTAATACCTTTTAACCTTACAAATCCAATCATTAATACCGAATTCAAGAATCTTACTCAAATTTCAACATGTTCTAAATCTAGTTCTAACACTTCATATCATTTACTTCCACTCATGAAAAGTCAGATTTAACTTCTAAATCCATTTATACATCCTTATTCAAGATTTCACTTAACCACTTCTTATCTTTAATCCTTCATAACTCACCAATCTTTGAGTTTCTATAATATTTTTCATCTCCATAATCTTTCTTAAAGCTTCATAAATCAAACCCATACTTTAATTTGAAGGATTAACCAAAAGAAATCAAACTTACCTTAAGTTTGGGTGCTTCACGTTGAAGAAGAAAATGAAGAAAAAAGAAGAATAAAGAGTTATCTGGAAACTCTTGTTTTTT